GTTTTTTCAGTTGTTCATTACACTTCTAAATGATTTTAGATTTTGTCTCGATTCTTAACTAGTTCATGTTTTGAAACTCCATGTATACTTGTAAAATTTGATAGCTGTTATTGTGTGAATAAAGGTCAGGCTTGAGGTGGTTGGCTTGACATGGCTCCCAGGGGTGTGTGAGAAAAAAACTTGTTTTAAAGTTAGTTGTATGATGTGTCATGGTGGTTACCAGTTGAAGAGGGTTCTGGTGTGCTTGACTTTTGCCTCCTTCTTGACAATGGACTTTTCACTAAAACAAACAAAGTGTAACTCCAATGCACTATTTCCTCCAAATTCCTATTTAAATCTAGGCTTGAAACATAAATTCCCACTGGCTGCAGTTAAATCAAGACAGATTATGGTTACGGATGAACAGATAGCAATTACTTCCCTTTGTCAGAAATGTACACCTAAAGAGGGGGGGGGGGGTAAATAGTGTCTTGGAGGGGTAAATGGTGTGCTGGGGGGATAAATAGTGTACTAAAAGGGTAAATAGTGTACTTGAGAGGTCTCTACCAGCAATGTGTTGAAGGGGCATATTGTATACTAGATGGGTAAATAGTGTACTGAAGGGGTAAATAGTGCACTGGAGGGGTAAATAGTGTACTGGAGGGGTATATAGTATACTGAAGGGGTATATAGTGTATTATAGGGGTAAATAGTGTACTACAGGGGTAAATAGTGTAATGAAGGAGTAAACAGTGTACTGGAGGGGTAAATAGCATACTGGAGGGGTAAATAGTGTACTGGAAGGGTAAATAGTGTACTGGAGGGGTATATAGAATACTAAAGGGGTATATAGTGTACCATAGGGGTAAATAGTGTACCATAGGGGTAAATAGTGTACTAGAGGGGTAAATAGTGTACCGGAGGGGTATAGAGTATACTGAAGAGGTATGTAGTGTACTGAAGGGGTAAATAGTGTACTAGAGTAAATAGTATACTGGAGGAGTAATTGGTGTACTGGAGGGGTAATTAGTGTACTGGAGGGGGTAAATAGTCGACTGGAGGGGTAAATAGTGCACTGGAGGGGTAATTAGTGTACTGGAGTGGTAAATAGTGCACTGGAGGGGGGTAAATAGTGTACGGGAGGGGTAAATAGTGCACTGGAGTGGGGTAAATAGTGCACTGGAGTGGGGTAAATAGTGTACGGGGGTAAATAGTGTACGGGAGGGGTAAATAGTGCACTGGAGGGGGGTAAATAGTGTACGGGAGGGGTAAATAGTGCACTGGAGGGGTAATTAGTGTACTGGAGTGGTAAATAGTGCACTGGAGGGGGGTAAATAGTGTACGGGAGGGGTAAATAGTGCACTGGAGGGGGGTAAATAGTGTACGGGAGGGGTAAATAGTGCACTGGAGGGGGTAATTAGTGTACTGGAGGGGTATATAGGGTACTGGAGGGGTAAATGGGGTACTGAAAGGGTATATAGTGTGCTTAACGATAAGACTGAATGATTCACAAGATAGGAGATGGGTCTTAAGCCGGAAAAGTCACAAGTCATTGTCCACCCCAAGTCAAACTCCAAAATGTTTCAAGTACTAAAATGTACCACCTAATTCTTTCAGTTAAGTAGAAAAAAGATTAAAATTAGAATGAATTAAGCTCCACAGATCTAATTTGTTAGCACTAGAATTTTAAAAGTTCAAGAACTATCCACGGAAAGTTTGAGGGTGGAGTAATTTCAATTCAAATGTCAAACTTTTGATGCCAAATGTGATCCATAAGAAGGCATAATTTAGTTTTAGGTCCAAAGTTCTTAACTTTTACTGAACTTGAGTTTTACTTATTATGCTGGAAGTCAGTGAATCTAATTAATGGGTCAACCTGACTAGGTATGCAAGATTGGAATCTGAAAAGTCTGAACTGAGAGTGCACTGTAGATGACTGTGTCATAAGCTTTCCTTCTCTTGAGCTTTGGGATACTTTTGTAAAATGAAGCTTGATTCTTCCCACAGAGTTCTACTGCACATGAACTCTCTATCCATTGTTCTATCAACAGTAGAAGCCAAACCTTCATCTAGTCCATTTGATATCTCTGACAATGAATTCCTTTCTGACCGGGTTCGGCTTGTTCCTCTACTGGTTTTAGGAGACTTTCCAAGCGAAGGCGAAAGTGGTATAGACCTTGTGGAGGGCGAACAAGGTCTCTTCAAAGCACTCTTGGCTCCATTAGATGCTACTGAGTACTTGGTTGGTGTTTCCTTGGCTGGCGTTTCCTTGGCTGGTGTTTCCTTGGCTGGTGCAGTTCCTGATTTTGATGATCTTCTGCCAACAGGTTTAGCAGTGGGTCTTGTCATTGGTTTTGGAGTGGATTTTGTGAAAGATTCTTGCCCTTTGCTTGAACTGCCACCTCTATTCCTGGTTTGTCTTGTGCCCCACCCTACAATCTTTTCAGGCTTAATCCATTCATCATACCTACATTGGAAACATAAAAGAGTCTATTCTTGATAAGGTTTTGCTATTGCATTCCTCTCCCTCAATTCATCATTTGATTGCAGTCAGGCAGTTTTTCTTTCTGATAACATTGGCACAAATGATTGCTCATTAATTGTAAACATTTTCAGAAAATTACAATTTGGTGGATTGAAAATTCACAACTCTGATGTTTTATCAGTTCAACAAATTTAGTTTTGGTTACAAAAAGACAACATCTGAGAAGCAATTGTGTTCTATTTTATTGTGGGGAATAACAATATAATTTTGCATGAATCCATTGCCAGAGCATCTAGAATGAAACTTCAGTTTCACTCACCTGTACATGTACCAATCAAAGATTACATGGTTATGTACTTAATTTCATCTTTTCACATTACAAAATATATGCTGGTTTCCCCTTCGAGGAATCTATTTGTTTGGACTTTGCTTATTTCTATACCTTGTTTACCTTCCTTGAAATTCTTGCTAGGAAAAATCTGATCAGCAATCTTTTCAGTGAAACAAAGTGACATGCTTGCAAGATATCTTGGATATTCTTAATTATTATTATGAAGCATTTCACAGGAATGGTATGATCTATCTGCCCAGGAATGCATCAATTCTCCCAGAGTGGAACTTTTTTGGTGACCGTAACTGATGACCCATAGATTCAACATTAAAAGAGTTTAAATTCAAGTCAAATTTTAAAGCTGTCCACAAACCTATTATTCCAACCAGCATAATGAATGCAGTAAATTGCACCTTCTTCAGCTTTAGGGTCAATATGGATGATCTTAAAAAGGTAAAATATACAAATTTCTCCACACTGTATTCAAAGTCCTTACAATTCTGATTAGAATACAGCTTAATCAAAGAAATCAACTTAACCTTTCAGCCAAAATTATCACAAGCAAACCAATTTCTGAAAAGAAATCTTAAGGATATTTTTTAAGTTTTTATCTCATATCAAAATGGTTGAGAAAGTAATGCACAATTATCAAACCAAGAACACTGTGTTCTTGGTTCTTAGTAGTTCTCTACTAAGCTTAAATGTTGCACACATGAAAAATTGGAACAGAAAATGGAGCCTCTAGATAAATTTACATCCAATTTCTCAAATTAAAAGTTAAGAATACAAAGCATATAAAATAAATTGTGTGTAGCTGTCCTTAGCATTACCCGAGCAAAGTGAAGTAAAACCAAAGAATTCAGAATTCTGTGTGAAACTTAGTTACAGTAGGATATTGAAAAAGGCACTAAAAGAAACTAAGGGATATAAGTTCTTACATCATACCTTAGCATCATAGAGTCTGTGATTTCTTCCTCTCCCATACTTAACTTGCACTTTATCTCCAACATCTAAGGATATCTCATCCAAAGGTATATCAGACTTACTGTCAGACTGTGGTTCACTGACATCAGATGATGACTCAGGACTGTTCACAACATCAACTGAAACATCTTCCTCTGGGCTCTTGGCTTGTGAGTCACTAACCAAACCATTATCATGCTCTCTACTTTGTTGTCGCTTCATTTCTCTAATCCTGGTACTTTGTTTACATTCTACCTTCTTTAAGTCTCCCTCGTCATCATCTATTTCTGGCAAAGGCTCTAGACATTCCAAACGTTTTTCATCACTGCTCTCTGGGGAACTTGCTGAGCTCTCAGGTTTGGTATCTTTACTACTCTGATCATTAGCGCCTTTAGGGAATGGCTTTAGTAGTTCTTTTTCATACTGTTCAAAGGGATAAAGGTATCTAAAAATAAAATCAAGAGGAAGAAATCTCAGCAAACACTCAATCACTTAATGAAAGAGGAATTGTACCACATAATCTGTGAGAGAATTTGAACATGAAACCTGGAAAGCAATTTATGGTCTAAATACAATACATTGAACAACTGTTTTAATTCACTGTGGCAACAAAGAAATAAACAAACCAATCAGATAATCATCTACAATGGAAAGCTGAATATCAACCACAGAGTAGTCAGAACAGACATAATGTACTGACTCAATTCTTATTAAAAAAAAAAACTCCAAGACAAACCAACAAACTAATTTTACATAAAACAATTAAGACTCCACTCCCCTATTTTTGCAGCAAAGTTTTCAAATTGTTTGTTAATGGCACAAAAATAATGAAAAAAGACACATGTCTGACAAACTATAGCCTGCATGTAGTGACGAGCAACAAACAAAGGAAAACTCCTTAGAGAGTCAAGAGTAACAACCTCACCTAAATAAACCCCTTTGCTCCTGAGGGGAGGCAAGAGTGACAGAACGATGACAACGACAAAATTAATTTACCTTTGCAAATAAAATGCAAATCTAACAATTCCTAGCCACAAAGATGCAAAGCTAATCATGGTGGGAGGGAAATAAACATCAAAATAAATTCTTAAATATCAAATTTGACTTAATGAAGGAAAGTTAAAGTGACAAACTAAGAATGAGAGAACCTTACTTCTTGTATGACATTTTAATGTGGTGTGATGCACTTGGTGGGACAACTGGAATGTCCATTTGCTGATAAATTTTTCTCCACAGGTATTGCTCACCGGAAACCTGTAATAGCAGACTATAATTATTACAACAAAAAATTCTTCGGTGTATTAAATGCTCACCCCATGTGGGCAACGTTCATCTCATTTGAGCACTTTTCCATTTAAAGAAAAATACAACAGGTTACTTCTGGTGTAAAGAACATGACTTGACAGCCACGCAGAATTAAGAATCAACTATATAAAAATATCAATGACCAGAAGAAAGGGTTAGACCAACAGTTCCCAAACTTAACCTTATTTGCAACACAAGAGAAAGTGATAATGCTTTGCAACTACCAACCTTCTCCATGCCTCCATGTTCTTGAACTATCTTATAAAGTTTGTAAAGATCCAAATCTTGATTTCCCAACACTGGAGGTCTAGTTATTGGTGTTCCTGTTGATAATGCCATGGCAAAGTTTCAGCAGTAAGGGGTCTGCTTTGATTACTAAATGCAAGTGTTACAGTAAGACACAGAGTGGTTTAATACATTGACATGTGAACCGCCCGAACCTCGCGATTGCCTCGCGCGAGAACGCTTTCCCCCTACCTCCCCTACTAAGTAGAGTTTTGTCCCCAAACTTCCTCTATCGTTTGGAGATCAATAAGCCTATCAGAATCCGCTGTTTGCGCATATATTTTGTTGACTTTAGGGGGTACTAGAGGGGCATTATTCTATGCATCTTAACTAAATGATAAAATTTGAAAATATGGCGTCCACGCAGCTGACCCTCAAAATTTTCAGGTTGGATTTTTTGTTCATTTGCGATCGAGTTAGACCTTGTGGAATTCAGAACGTAAAGTAACAATGCTTTAGAATACTCTGCTTGGAAAAGAATGCATATCCAGGTCTTAAAGGTGACAGACTAAGCTCTCGAGTCAATGACACTACGATTCTCTAGGGCGATGCGAATTATGGACGTAAAGTGAAAACCGAACTTTCGGACTTCAAGAAGGGACTAGCGACAATTTGAAGATTCGATGGCCCGGTAAATATTATGTTCGAGTAACAATGTGTTCAAAAAGTATAGTTTAATAGAAGATTTTGCCTCAAATCAAAGTTTTTTCATAATTTTCAACATAACGCTGTGCAATTTCTGGCCATGAAGGCAAGTAAACAACGATCTAGGCATGATGAATTTTACTGTGTGGGCTTTATACACATAAGAAATTCGTATGTTTTTCGCTTATAACAGCAAATCAAACACTGTTTTGAATAAATCTGACGTCCCGAAATATTTCTTGGCCATTTTAGGCTCTGTTTACAAGCAAGGAGGGTAACCCTTGTGCTGGGGTTACCCTAGCAGGCGGGTCAAAGATAGCCCGGGTTTACAAGCAAAATATCACAGGTAGGGTTACCCTACCACCCGGGACAACTTATCTATGTTTGGTAACCGCACGCATTGTTATCAATGTTCAAAGGGTCTGGAAACAAGTAAAAAGTTGTCCCGGGTAGGCGAGTTATCCCCACCAGAGCGTTTACAAAGCAACTAGGGTAACCCTAGCTGCCTTGTAAACATGTCGATGAAAAAAAGAAGATATGTGGGAGTGTTAGGTAACCCTCGTGCCAGGGTAACCCTAGCACTAGGATTACCCTACCTGCTTGTAAACAGGGCCTTAGCCTTGCTTCCTATTGATAGATTCCATGGAACTTGAGATCTCTTCACTCACGGACAAATTTGCATATTCCTTTTTGAAATATGATCCACATGCCCATTTTCACACATACGAAAATATATAGCGATTTTTATCTTTCATCTTGATTTTTGAGTTAAAACGTATATGCACCTATCGCATTTTTCCCCGGAAATAAGTTCTTTAATTAGTCCTCTTTCACTGGAGCTTGTTTTTTAGAAAAGCTGATTTTTAAAAATTTACTGTGCATTGTGTTTGCCTTCATGGTTTCTCCAAAATTTTGACTTTTTGTCGGCACGTGTTACACGCAAGTGTCAATGGGTTAAGGCTTTGAAAATGCTGTGATTCAAACATTTCCTTGTTTTAAGAATTTTCAAAAGGTTTAACATCAGACCTTCCAGGGCCATATTTTTTTAAAACTTTTTCCTTTTTCAAAATGGATCTCCCACAACAGCCCCCAATGTAACATGTTTGTTAAATTTTGATCAGCAAACTGGAAAGATGAATTGCATAGCAAGCAATAAAATATCACAAAGTCCCCTCATAGTTTTGTAGACCAACCTCTCAGGATAGAAATTAAACAGAAGTTTTAATTGCACAGTCAGATTTGATATGAGATTAATCTGCTCAAAGAAACAACATCCATTTCCCACCCCTTTGGGTTTACATGTGGATGAAGCTATAAAATAATTTTTTTCCAAACAGTGTATTTCATAACCTTCCTATAGATATAAAAATTATAGTTCATGGAAGTTATGCTCTAAATAGCATTTGAAAGTTTCCTTTGCAAAAGGACACCCACAAAGGTCTTCTGCATTCTAACCCTAGCCTGTGACTCTCTAGGAAAAAAATCCTTTTTAATTTGTTGTGTTGTGATCTCTGAATTGATATTAGAATTGGCTACGATTACAGGTCACAACCCCTAAACTTTCCACACAGTTAAAAGTCTTTCACAACCAAATTGAGCATGGAATGAAAAAGCAGAGATGTAAATGAAGTGAACAAACCCTTTTCTTCCATGAATGCAAATAGCCTTTGTCTAAATGTTTTCCTCTCTTCATCATCCTCCATACTGCTTTCATCTTCTGAAGATTGCACCCTTTTTGTTTCCTCCTCACTGTCTCCATGGACTATCACATCAGATGAATTCTCCTCCCAGATTGCAGGGATTCTTCCGGTGTCCAAATATGTCAGAGCTCTTTCCACAGCTGAAGGAGACAATAATTGCCACATAAATTCAAAAATAGCTGTTACCTCCAACTGACAAAAACTCATATGTCAAGCAAACAGAAAAGCTTATGAGCAAATCTTGGATATGAGAATGATTTGTCCCACAAAAAGAAAAAAATGTATCGTGATAACTTGGGAATTTAGATTGTGTACATACCTGCTTTCAGTTTTCTGTTTTCACCTTTCGCAACACCATGAACTGGATCTTGATCCTTTGAAAATTCTTTAGCATCTTTAACATTTATGACATGACTGGGAGATTGGAAACAAATTATGTTTAGTTTGAGCCACAGAGAAATGTTCTCCTGTCTACAACTTTAAATAATTTATTTAGAAAATTATTAATGGAAGTAATTAAGTTTCTAAAGAAACTGTGGTGCTGTGTTGGTGGGGTAAAAGGTAATTTGGCTCTATCAATTAAGCTGAAATTGTAAATTGACCACTGTAAAGAGTTAAAAAGCTGATGTTTCAAGCATTAGCCCTTTGCCATTCACCATGAAGAAGGGCTAACGGATGTCAGCTTTTCAATTATTTACGGTGGCCAATTTACAATTTCAACTTAGTTGATATCACTAAATTACCTTATTTAAAAAATGAATTAACTGCTGCGCTAACTGGTAAAATATGCCACCTGGAGTGACCTCAACAAGTCTTTTTCCTATCAGTATTGATGACAATTTCCTCTTCATGTGTTACCATTCCAATGTTTGTAATTCAATTACCCACGACATTAAATGTACTTTAAGCAAAGTTTTGGTCAAGAAAATGTGGGGGACCCAAGGCATCTTCAGAGGAGCAATCCATGGTGCTCCTGCTAAATTCACTTTGCTACTTTTCTTTCTTAATTTCCCTTCCTACTTCCTCACTCAGTGAGTCTGTCAGTAATGTGTTAACAAGTGCCTGAGTTGAGTTGTGGATTGGTTAATGCCACTTCCTTTGTGGAAAATTCCTCCAGTAAAACCAAGTGTGTCAATTAATTTTAGTGACAGAGTATTGAATGCCTCTTGTTTTTAGCTGCACACAGGGCAGGAAACTTGGCCCGTCCGAACGTCCGAGATGGGTAACTTTTCCATTTGGACAAGGAAAAAGGTGATCGAAGTTGTCTGATTGGACAAGTAAGTTGTAGAGCTCTGACGTCGCCTGACTTTGGATAAATAATAAATAATTTTTTCCTATATTTTATAACTAGGTGCCTTGAAAATAACCTTTCTCTTCTTATTGTGGAAGTTGGTGACGCTTAGCAAAGAAATCAAAGACAAATTGATTTCCATGTGATCCCCGCTTTACAGCACAATTGCATGTACATGGATCACATGTGCTGCAACGGTCAGTGACCTGAATCACTTGAGTATCGGCAATGTCTCAATCAAAATTGTTTAAATTTTCGAAAAGATCAAGGAAGCACTTAGGGACGTCAATACAGACGAGGATGTTCCTTCCAATAGGAAAAAGATTGAAGATAACAAAAAGAATTATGAAACCAAGCGTGTAAGAAAATTTCAGTCAGCTTGGATGACAGAATTGGACTGAGTTTGTTACGAGATTAAAACAAACAGAATGCACTGCTCCACTTATTGGAAGTTTCCAGAATTATCAGATAAAAGCAGCCCGATGTATATTGGATGTGGGGATGGAGTTCAAGGATTTAGATGAGAAACTTTAACTGCCCATTCAAAAAGTTGTTGCCATGTCGTTCGCCAGACAAGACTGCTGAATGACCAGAAACGGGAAGACAGCCCATTGCAAAAGATGTTTTCGTGAATAAGCCAGGAATCACAAGCAAGGCTAGAAAAACTGTTCAATATTGCCCACTTGACATACACCGACAGATGTATCAAATAAGTAAGTAAATAAAATTCAAAAGAATATACCTTTATTCAATTTGTTGCGTTGAATGTTTTTATTGACTAATTAGCTTTTCACTTAACTGGGGCATGGTTGAGATAAAAAAAGGATTTTTGAAACCCTAGATTGCTGTTACCGATTTTTTGGGACAAGTAGTTTTGTGGTCCGGACAACACTTGTCCGAAAGGACAAGTGAATTGAAAAGAAAGCTCCTGCCCTGCATAACTACCTTTTTTTTTACAGGTAACTGCCCCTTGTCTATCAACATCAGACAAAGTACCATAGGCAGTAAATCTCTTTTTGTGAGACATTAGTAACAAAACAGACTTGGTTATTTTTAAGTACTTCTTCAAGGTAAGCCAAATTCAGATTCCAAAAAACAAAAAACAAAACAAAACAACAGAAACATTCAGATGTGAAAGAACACCCCTCCCCTTAATGAAATAAAAAACTACATAAATAACAACTGCTTCTTGATAAGATGGTCCAAGATTCCTTTCAAGAAACAGATTTTCATAAACAACACAGTTACCTTATTATAGGAAATTAACAATGCATGTAATTAACACGAATTTCAAAAATTCGCGTTAATTTTATGTATCTTAATTTACCTAATTATTAATTAAAATGACGTTAATTGAAAGTTAAAGACACCTTTATTATAAGCAAAGCTACAATTCCTCTACGTCACCGTCAGAGTCGGTTGACTCAGAGTCGTTTAATATTAAGTTCAAGATGTCCTTAGATTCATCAGTGTAGCGATCGTCTTCTCAGAGGGGATAACTCACTTCTTCAACTTTCTTGCGCAAAATGTCTATCGCATTTTTGTCATCCCATTTCACAGTCACCGCAATAGGTATTTCTAATCCACCTTGAACAAGTGGAGATGGCTTATATTTTATCGCTGTGACCTCTCCTTTTATGACAGCTTCTCTCTGCAGTGCGTGCCAAATATATCGGCCCAATTCTATTGGAATATGTGCGACAGTAGAAGGAAATATGGTTCCTGGCAATATTGTTTGCCCAGCAACTGCAAGCCGGTCGTGTTTATTGTCTTTCTCTTGCTTGAACGTGAGCTGTTGCTTTAAGGTTTCCAGCTTGTGCGATACACGTGGCAACCTCTTGAAGCAGTGTTGAATTTCAATGTGGGAATAATTATGCAACATACCGCACGGAAATTCGCGTTAATTAAATGTATATAAACATAACTTTTGGAAAATTCGCGTTAATTTTATGACGCGTAAATTTTGTTCGCTTTATTAACACGCTTCGTTATATTCCTATAATAAGGTACTACATTTACCACATTCATGGTACGGAAATAGATTTTAACCATAAGAACAACTTACTATTTTCCATCTTTGAAAGAACGCACTAGACATTTATCTTTTGATTTGATCAAATCCACCTCATTCTTGCTTGGATTTACACCCTATACAAAAATAATAGTAATTTTTTCCTAACCAAAATGTTCCATCACCATAACTGCCTTTAGAGACAATAGCTCACTTCCTGTAGCAAACAAACTGAAGATGATAACTTTACTCAAAGCTAACAAAAGGTATGAAAATATGAAAGACTTAATAGGTGTCTCTCTCTCTCCTTACTCATCTAAAAAGTTTGAGTTTTGTGCATTCATTTTCAAAAGAAATGTTACATAACCTTACCAAAGCTGGAAACCACAAGCTTCTTCGCTTTGATCCACTTTGCACAACTACCAGCTGATGCAAAAGGGAAAAAAATCAGATTGAGTTAAATTTCAAGTTAGTACCACCAAGGTTCCACAAGTAGCTTGCTCACCTTGCCAACAATACTGTCATCAAATAAACATTTCTTTTTTCCAGATGCAAGTGGCTGTTCTTCTCTTTCAGTCTCTGAGTCATCCATGCTAATAAAATCAAACAAAAATTTTGTTATTCACTGAATTACTGAATAAACCTCCCCATATTCCAGTAAGTCATTTCCAAGAGACCATGAACCTCCTCATGAAAGTGATGTTAAAAGCCTAACAATGATTAGGCTTCTCATTTTCATTATCTTTGCAGGGAAGAAAATTACAAAATCTAACTTAGGGGGAAAAGGCTTAGAGAAATCCTAAAGTGTCCTTCTTTACATATAATGTATTTTGCACGTTGGTTAAATTAACTCAGATCAAGTCTTTATTACTACATTCAAAAATACAAACATACAAATCAATTTAACTGCCATCAACAAAGAAGCATCCAGGGCTCGACAATAACGGTAGCCCACTAGCCACAGACTAGTAGAAATTCAGTTTTGGCTGATGGTTTTCAATTTCCACAAGCCAGTTTGGCTAGCAAAAAGACTGAAATTGTCATAACATCTAAAACCATCTAAGATGTCACTAGCCACTTGGCTAGTAAGTTGAAAAATTAGTGTTGAGCCCTGGCATCTACACTGTACCTCAAAAATACAGTAGAATATATTGAAGCTAAACAAATTAAGACCACAACTTTATAACACAAACTTCACACTTAGTAAAATCTATAAGCTTTTTTAATTGTCACACTTCTCTAGCATACATAAATTTATGAGCAAACATAAAGGAAGACAGCTTTAAAGGGAAGGTGAATATCTCACATGTTTTTGAAATATTATTCATTAAGTGTTATTTATATTATTCATACCTGAAAAGTTGCTGAAATATTATCAGTGTTATTTATATCATTTGTTATATTGTGTGTGTAATTTTCTGACCCACACTGTAATTCAGATCCGCCTGCAAAAGTGTTGATTAAACATATCTATATCTATGGACAGTGCAACAATCCATGAATACCACCTCTCAGATGGTACCATGCATCCAAATTCTGATTTGGGACATGTTTTTCCTTCAAATCATGATTACCTTGCTGCCTGACTCAGTCTTCTTTTTTTCCTTTTCTTTCCATCCTGAAATACACAGGAATATTCATCACTGAATTGCAATGTGCAATATTCATCTTTTTTCAAGGTCAAATAACTATAAGTTCAAAAGGCTTAGGAAAACTTAAATTCACAAAATTTCAGGTGGACCTACATAGTTTATCCAAGTTATTTTGATGCTGCATAAGGATATATGTTGTAGTTCAATTTTATCCTTGGTTCAAATTTTACTTTCCTTTGTTTCAAACTCATTATCATACATTAACATGACTGAGAACAAAGGAAAATAAAATTTGAACCAAGGATAAAATTGAACTACAACATATTTAACTATTCACTGAAGTGGAGGTGGTTAGTGGTGGATATTTACCAAGCTGCGAGGTAAATATCCACCACTAACCACCGACACTGAGGTGAATAGTTGTTTTAGTATATACTAAAACAGTGAGATAATATACACCACCATCGTTAATTTGAGTGATTTCTTCGCTTGTCACAGATGCAAACTGGGGTGTCATTCTTTCCTAAGTTGCTTGGAGGTAAATAGCAAAGGATATTCGGAGTTTGACTAGCCAATCAGAGCACACCTTCAATGCTATCCACTGTTTTAGTATATAGTAAATACTGATACTTGGCATTAAGTTAGAAAAATGGGGGAGGAAAAAGACAGAGAGCTAAGGAAGTCGTATTCAAGATTCAAGATATACCCAAGTAAAGGAAAAAATAAGGGTGTTCTCAAGATGCCCTACTTTTGATATGGTAACTCTAACACCAAATCATTAGAAATATTAGAATATCCAGTTGATAATTAAATGGCATTTTCAAGGAAAGAAACAAAATGCACAGAAGCTACAATCTATCAAAGAATCAGTGTTTCAAAGCAAGAAAACTACTTAAGGTGTCTTGGCCACTTTCTCGCTACTTAAGACCATGACATTTGACCTTATGCTATAAGAGCAAAGGCACTTTTCCTTCCTTTGTTTTAGCACTGATAGAGAGTACATCTAGCTTCCATCATGTAATCAAACCCACTTCTTAAAACACACTTATTCACAGCTGGGCTGGGTAGTAATATATGTAACAAAACGAAAATTTTCCAATTGTCTCCTTATTCTATTTTATATTTGACCTTCCTAATGGGCCTTGCACACCACAGAGGCTGTGTGGCTCAGTGCTTTAGCATCACAACACAAAATCCCAAGGTCTGAGGTTCGATTCCTTGTGGGGACTCAAAATTTTTTCTTTGTCCCATGCTTGCAAACAGATGAAAAACATCTTCTTTAAAAAATTTTTTGTAACCATGCAAACACACAAATGAAATTTGCATGCCATGGAAAGTAACTCCGTTGATAGTTATAAAAGGGCATTGAAAATGTACCTGTTTCATGAGAGCTCTTTCTTCTAGTTGAAAAAGCATTGAGACATTTATGGAATGCATCCTTAAGAACTTTAATTGTTATTATTATTATTATTATTATTAAATATTATTATTATTAATATAAAAATAATAATAATGTTTTAGAATGCACGAGAATGAGAAGAAACATTCCTACTCAAGACATGTTCTAGACATTGAACACGGTTCATTTACACCTCTTCTGTTTACTTCAACTGGTGGAATGGGCCAAGAATGTTTAAGATATCACAGTCACCTTGCAGCACTCATTGCAGACAAGAAAGGAGAACACTATTCAAAGACAATTTCCTGGATCAGGGCAAAAACTTCGTTTGCATTATTAGGATCCGCCCCAATCTGCCTAAGAGGATCCAGAACAATTAGAAGGCCCAAATTGGATTTCACTAATGTGGACCTAGATTTTCAAAGTTCAGAGGCTGCCATTTGTTAGTTAGTTTCTTTTTTTTTTTACATAATTTGTTAATCAACATTTTCGTGTATTTTTAGATTTTAAAGGATTTTATCTTAACTTGTTTGTATATAATTTTGATGATTAGAGTGAATTGTCGTTATCATAGTGTGTCCTCTTGTTTTTCTTACAGTTTTATTAGACATTTTAATACATTTTTTTCGATTTTCAAGCACTTTATACCATAATTTTTGTTATAACTTTTTGGTGATTATGGTGAATAAAGGATTATTTAAAAAAAATAATAAAATTTATTATTACTATCATTATTATTACCATTAGAGGTTGAACTTTTTATGCAGCACTCATTCCTTAGAGAATCTTTACTACATAAATCAATTCTCAATCATGACAACTTATTAGAAAAAAAGGTATCACATACAAAAAATTTCACTGATTAACTCAAGTTACAAAACAATATACACTTCACTCTGAAATACAAGACAAAGCAAATCAGGTCCAACCGAAATCCTCCCCATCACATCCTTCAAAATAATTTCACACAGTCCACAAATCAGTCGTGACAGAAATACATGCTAAAACAACCACATCATGGATTGTGAATCAAGTGAAAGAGAGAAACAAGAGAGTGACAAGTTACAAAGATGGATCAAGAAAAAGGCACACACCAAACCAATTATGAATAGGAATGGGGCAGCATAACAGCAATACCCCACAAGGACGACAGTTATTCCAACTAACAAGTTTTTCCCTTCAATGCTATTATGTAAACAAATTATGAATATGAATGGGACAGCATAACATTAATATCCCACAAGGATGAAAGTCATTCCAACTAACAAGTTTTCAAGTCTTCAATGCCATGATATAAATGGTGTCAAAATTTAAACACAATTGATAACATTTTTATAGCATCATACTAAAATATGGCTGACAGCCACCAAAACTGTCAACACTGCCAATAAGGCCAAGTTTTTGCTGTAAAATATATCTTGCGCAGCACCAAGAGGCTTGTATTAACATATCTTCATCACATACTTAACAAAATTAATTATCTCATCCAGAATCCATTCCATCAAGTTCTATCCCCTTACCTAATGGAATAACAATTTATTTCCGCTTCCTGACCAATACATTTTATTCATTCACAAGCTAAAATCACTTTTGCATAGTTCATCAAAACTTGAAAAGTTCATATGTCACCTAATCCTGCAGCTCAATAAAGAACATTTTATAGAGACACAACTTCTGTACATCTGAGTAGCAATGTGGCTTCGAGGCAGTGCACAATTATTTTTCAGCCCATTTGAAAAAGCAACTCACTACCAGCATGTTTCACCAAGTAATCAAACTGTACAATTCCAAACAATACTGAATGAACAGATTCCAAATAAATCCCTTGACAATTTCAGTATGAGAAACCTTTCCAAGAATCAGCCAAAATGTGAATACTGTTCACCTCTCACATTGCACTTGTATACCTTCTACACCTGATTTCATCTTGCACAGGATATTTAATAAATGAATGGGATTTGCATATAGTCACACCATAAACAGTGCAAAGTAACTCATTTTAAAAACATTTTTCAGTTTACCCTTTCAAAGTTTAATCGAACAGTTAATTACCTGTACAACTGGGGTACCAAAATTCTCTGGATCCGTAAGGGGAAGATGATCAAGAGTCTATAAGGCAGAATGAAGATGCAACACGTGTATACACATCTCATTGATAAGTGATGCAATACTGAGAAACACAAACTAAAGAATACAAAGATCTATCGTTCAACACTCACCTCGCTTTCGTTAAAATGTCGTTCTCCTTTCAAACAGAGAGAAGTCCTTCTCAATGTTCTCTCATCGCCATCATCAAACACTGAAAAAAAGTAAACATGTACGTAATTAAAGCCTTGTTTTACTTCAATACGGTAAAACTTGCCTCTTCCGCATTGACTTAGACAAGGAAAAACGATTCCTTACCAACAGTATATACGCTGGCATCGGTGAGTTTGTTTATCACCCCTTCCATGTACTGTCCATCAGGATTTTTGGCCTCTACAACTGCTCCTACCTTCAAAGAAGTACACATACAGTTTAGATGTGTTTGAGTGCCAGTTCAGAAGACACTACTTTGAGTAAAAAAAATCACCTAAACAAATCATCTAGATGGAAATAAAAATGTTGAAGAAACAAAGGATAGAGAACTTACCTTCAAAGAACCTTTAACGCAATCATCGTTAATCGTGAAGGAAGTGTTTGTTTTGGTGAAGGTAACCTACAGAGGAAAAGAGCAAAGATCCATAGTAACAACTAGTTCAAGAAGCACTGCCTTCCTCGACAGTAAGGCACGAATCCAAACGAGTTCCAAGTACACAGGATAAGTATTACAATTTTCGCAAACCTTGCATTTGACAAGCTTCTTCACGACCTTCACGTTGGCTTCACAAAAAGCTCCTCGATACTTGGCACTGACATCAGTGCCTACAGTTAAGAATGGAGGTTCCTCTGAAGACTGTGCCTGTCGAAAGGTAAAGAACGAAAAGAAACGAGGTTTGGAGGAATAAATGACGTGAGCAAAGATTTCCTTTGAATTATAGATGATCTTATTCCAAATTCACTGAGTTTCAATGTTGACTTGACATAAAACCAGCGGTAAGCAAATGTACTGCCTCAATCAATAGCAAAGACTGCTAAATAAAGCAAATTTGCAAAGAGCAGAAATGCAACAGGACATCATCCAATAGTAGGAGCATAGCGTTATTTTTGTCAAGTCAGTACACGAGAACGTCTTGAAAGGAGTCGTAGTTGTTCGTACTTTCTACCACAGAAAACAAGCAATATTACCAAGTTAACGTCCACTAACAAAATCAGTAAAGTCTATCCAGTTTATTGTGCTGTAATAACTCTTAAAATCGTGTCCAGTGAGTACGTGGTTGCAGTAAAGCATGCTAAAAATCTTCGAATGGAGATTCGTAAACAATACGACCTGACCGAGACTGACAGAACAAGCTAAACACCACAAAAATCGTACGCCGTTCTTAACTCTCCAAAGCTAGCAACTAAAATTCATATCACAGAAGGTAGGATTCGTCTTAAGTTAAAGATAAAGTGATTCGTTCCTTGAACTACCACGACGAACATTAGCAGTAAAGGATCAGAACGAAGGTAAACGTGCTATACGACTTCAACTCGTCTAGCACCATCAAAAAGGTTGAAGTTTATCCATATTTTCGAAAACGACAGACGGTACAAAATCTTCTCTGAAGATAACATAGCATCGTAAACAAGTGCCGGGCATAAACAATTGGACAGAGAGATGTTTAAGCTTTTTTGAAAAGAATCTTCCTTACTGCATGTAGACATGAAATTCCATGCCTCAAGCATATGTGTTACTAAACCACATGAAGATCGTAAAGCCTACTTTAATAAGAATGAAAAATTTCATATTTTATCCAAGTTAGATCAGTGATGCCCTTGAAAGAAGAGGGACCCGCAAAATAAGTAAAAGCTATAAAATCAAGGTCCAATTGAAGCAAAGAAAATATGAGTTTGCAATGTAATAAATGAAGGGCTTACAATTTACAACTCAAACGGAACTACAACACAAGCTTAACAAACATACCATGGCAAACTTTGATCTACGGTCCTAAGACCCCAGTAAACTGGCCTTGGCAATCTGACTCCACGATCACCCAAAATAATCAAAAAGAAAACTTCAAACTGAAGGGAAACTTGCGATGGCCGACAACACAAGGACGCTCGACTTACCCTCCTCACCATGGACCATGGGGGGTCCTTAGCGTTCATTGGTCTGTTTATTCAGAGCCTCCTCCACTGGGCCTTCAGTGAATTATTAGCCCGTACCATATATGGAAAATCGAAGATGGAATTGACATATTTCATCGTGTAATTCCACTTCCTGTACCACAATAACATCCGCTTGCCTCAAATTCGCGGGAAACTTGATTTCTGACGTTTCTTACTCGCAAAGAAGAATAAGCTGATTTGTAAATGCAACTTCCTTTAAAATTCTTATGCTGTTACTCTTCTTTCTAACACTCGTTTATTTTGTAGAGGTGAATTTGATAATCTATTTTTTTGATTACATCAATTTTTCATTTATGGTGGTTATATGCCTTGAGAATTCCCCCACTGTTCTGCCTTTGTACAGCAAAAATTTTGTGACGTATGTAAGGAAAGCTTTTAAAAACCAGAGATCTTCTACTAAAGTATATGTCATTAGTTCTAATATTAATGGGTTTTTAAGTCGATAATGTTGATGTTCTGTTTTGGTCATTAAAAGTGATCCTGATGATTCATGGATGGAATAAATTAAGAACATACACAAATCTCAGCTGAAGTGAAACAAAGCAACCAGACAATTTAGAGCTTTATGGCTCATAAACCTAAACAATGCTATACAAAACAATAGAATTAAACAGAGATTGGCTAAATACAATCTAAGCCTGGCCATATGGATGTGCACTAGCTCTTCTTACTTCACGAGCTCTGATAACCTCAAATGTTTTCACTTAAGTAATTTATAACCAGCTCACTTCCAATATACCCAGGTACAATGAGAACCAAACAACCATTCATGTGAAAAGAATTTTTTTATTACTACACTATTCAAAAGTATTAACTTATTTTAACATATCTCTTGGACAAAAACACGTAATCAAAATAAAACTATAAGGCTTAATCCACCTAAATAATATCCAGAGTATGGAGGCATTTAAGAGCCTAGAGCGTCACAATAACTTTAAAAGTGTAAAAAAATGAATTTTGGTTGAGATGTTTCAATTCAAGATCAACATGTAGACAGGTTTGAAATTCAAACAATAATAATATCAGGAAATGAAATGGAATAAATCAGTTTTTTTAAATTTAGACCTGCCGCACTATTTTGCAGCTTGAGATTTGGAAATAATATTAGTTTAGGCCTATAAGGTAGGGAGACAGTTTGAGAGATAAGCTACTGCTTACTTACTTACTGCTTACTCCATTCCCAAGTGGCAACCTTAACAAATGATGAATACTTTAAACAAACATGAAACAACAAAACTTGAGAAAAAAATAAAAATTTATGAATGAATGAATGAAAAACTTTATTTAAGTGTCTATGTTTTTAGCTATAAGCTAATGAGGGACACTAAAAAATTTAGAAGTCAAATACATTCACATATGTAGATAATAGTTATTTACAGTAGATAATTAAAAAGATTCTAAGTTATTTAGTTAAGTTTTAAATTTCAACAAGAGTTGAAAGGTCGACTTTTGTTATGTTCTTCTTGAACAAATGTAGAGTTTCAATCGTTCTTAGGTGTCTTGGTAACTTCGACCAAATGAGAGGTCCCATATGTTTAATAGAATTCCTACCAAATCTTACAGTTTTGAATCTTGGCAGTTTGAAGTCACTGTTCCGTAAGTTATACCGAGTGTTCTTTATATTAAATAAGTCAGAAATATTCTCGGTTGCAAGACGGTGCTAAACTCTAAACATCATGGCAATATGTCTTGTAGGCGCCGATTGTACAACGTTGGTAGTTTGGCACGACTTAGCAGACTTATGCAACATTTACAGGGCCATATTTAGTATATAAACCCCTTCAGGCAGCTGGTATGTTGCCTGATAATGTCTGCAGTTGGGAAATTGACTGAGAAATAAATATTTGGCCAAGAAGCAAAGCAGGTTCATCTTACAACCCTCCCATTAATTTTCATATGGTGCATTGACTGCAAATTTTGTTGACTTTTTTTGTAGTTTTTGTGAGCAAAATTTAAGATCAGCTTTTTATTGTCACATTGTTGGATTCTACAAAACAAGCTCATTTTTCATTCACATAATGTAATAAAGACGAAAGAGTCAAACATTTGAGAAGGCTTTTTCCCACTGTTTCCTCTCAGTGAAAATAATCAGTGGGCAAATATCCATGCAAACAAGGGTTAATTTGTGATAACTTTCTGGTGATTTTGAACCCCATGATGTAAAGTAGTCAATAGAATCAGAGAAAAATTCATGGGAGGGTTATAATAAATACTATTTGGTTCTGATAGTTTATTACCATTAGAAATGTACAATTTTTGTAGTTTCTAGAGAAACATGTTCAACCACTATCTTTTAGTTTTTTATTGTGATTCAATGTAAAGTTTCCTCTTATGGAACACTAGACAAGAAATATAGATGTTATTCAAACTGTTTTATCTTGTAACATATTTCTCTTTTTTAAGTTGTCCAACCTTTTGTATTTCTTTAGGTGTTATTTGACTTTGAAACCTTGGCAGTTCCTTTTGTATTCCATAATGATTTCAATTTCTTATTTCTATTGTTTTGGGTTAAAGAACTTTTTACACTTTGTTTCTTGTCTTTTGCATAATTCTTGCAGGACCTCTACCGTGTTTTTTTCCTTTACAGTGATGTTTTGTAGATTTCTTAGAGGTGATTCCACTGAATGAATAAGCCACAGGTTTACTGTTTTTGAGACTTTTTGACTGACCTAGATAAGAAAGAAAAATCACATTCATTCAGGAAATTAGTTCCTGTTAATTTTCATAACTAGTGCCACTGTTACCATAAATAGAGTGATATAACTTCAACTAGGCATGACTTAAGTTAGTCATTTATGTTCTTTGTTGTAGTAAACAAAGCACTTGGTAAATAACCAACTTCTCTAAACTCTGAATGGTGCAGATCTATTTTTATATGTATTCAGTCACATTTCCACCAGTCTTCTAGCATTTTATTTTTGCTTTTTAAATTTAACTTTCAAACAGCTCTGTGCTGTATTATACCTCCTCAACATCTAAACCCTGCAATCTCTTTTAGTTACAAAGGGAAAATGGCTGAGAATAACACTGAGTCTGTTTTCGTAAGCCTTGAGGATGCGAGGATTCTGTAAGACATAGGCACTTGTCCCAATATGCACACACAATCTCCACCTTGATAAAAATATTATGACTTCACCTAAATGGGGATTTTCTGTGGATGGGAAGATTCGCAAATGTCGACCTTGAAATTCTATTTTGTTCCTTCTCAAGGCAAACATCACCCCATCTCTTTCCTGTGAAGAAAACAAAACAAAACAAAACAAAAATCGTTAGTAAGAGTGGACAAGAGACTTTGAATTTAATACCTTATTACAAAATGCTTATTCATTTAGTGATTATGCAAACATTCTTTGTTGTGTATGCTAGACAGGTACTGTGAGACTGATCTTAACTTTTATTTACCTTAAAGAGAATGAATCCAAAGCCTTTTCCTGCACCAGTTTTGCTGTCTCTAACAATTCGAACACCCTCAATTTCACCACACTCACTGAAGGCTTGCCTCAATGGTTCCTCCTCGGTATCTGTACAAATGAAATGTACAAAATGCTACAACACATTGCACAACCATAGATCCAGGGTCATTATGTGGATAATCTGATGTCACTATACATAACTGTTCATTATGGTAGCGCTTTTAATATAATAAACAGTATTTTTGAAATAATGATGGTAATTGCAATAACAACACTTGTGATGACAATCACAGTGATGATGATGATGATGATGATGATGATGATGATGATGATGATGATGATGAAATGATTAAAAAAAAGGAATACAGGCCTTGCAAGGTAACTATGGGCCAGTTGTTTGAAAAGCAGTTAGTGCTAAATCCAGGGTAAAGATCTAGAGTTGGTTTGGATTTTATGAGGGTGAAATAAATTTCTAAGCAACAATAGCAACAAAATTGGTGAACTTTCACCCCTTCTCCCCTTTTATTGGAAATGTTAGGAGACAGCCAATCAAAAAATATCTTGAAAAAGGAGAGTAAGCACAGTAAATGTACTAAGTATGGAATCTAAACATGTTGGGGTAAGGGCTATTCTAGGAACAGTTAACATCTTTTAGGCACAGATTAATCAAATTGTCTTATCTGTGATAAGTTACAGCTAGAATGTCAAACAAGTATCTGATACTGAGTATTGACAGGAAAAGATAAGCTGACTTTGTTTACTCACCAAAAGGTAAATTTCCAACAAATATTGATCTGGTGTGATCGTGCTGTAAACAAAGAGAAAAAGAGAAATTCTAACTGTATGTGAAGTCAAATAACTGGCAGAGGGTTACCGTTCTATCCATGGCTGTTAGCTTGAGCTGATCATTCTTTCCAAGGTTACTTTAAACGTCCACAGCTAATGCCTTCCTTCAATAAATTAACCCTTTACGTCAATCAGAACATACCACAGGGTTATGGCTTGGGTAAGTACTGTAATAATACAAGGGTTTCAATAACATTAGTTATAAGTGGCTACTGAAGGTTTAATCGGCAGCTGTGACCTCTAAAGGGGCCGTAAGGCCCCTTTCCCCTAGGAGGATCTGGGGGCAGGCCCCCAGATCAACCAGCGACTTCTGCATGCCTTTGTCGTGATATCGAGGCTTCAGTTTTTTAGTGTACCACTGGACGTTGAAATTATTGCATGCGCTTCAGCTTTTTTGGCCTTGGGTCTGCCCATTTTTTTTTTTTTGTAGCATTTGAAATTTCAGTGGTTGTTGTTGTTGTTGTTGTATTTGTTTTTTTAACACCACTTTTTATTTTCATCAATGAAATCCAAACAGACGGTGGTACGAGGTCCTACAGGCAGCGGTAGACCACTGGTAACCGGCTTTTATTGAAACCCCTGAATAATACCATATAGTACTGCATACAATTAGCAGTGATCACAGCAGATAAAATTATTTTTAATGGACAAACACAAATTGGTATTCAGCAGTAGTTCTAGCATACCTCAATATCTTTTCTAGTTATATCAACTCTGATGTGAAACCCACCAACGTCCAAACCATTACTAGCAGTAGAAGGAAGACAAAATTTGGAACCATAAGTTTTGTTAAAGAACTGCATTATTCTGTACTTAACAGGTAATGTACAGTCTGCTCTATTTGCTTAACATGTATCAGATATTGCAAATAAGAAAATTGAAGAAGAGTTATACAACAGATGGTAAGAGGTCATCTCTGATAGCCAAGTTAAAAACCTTCAATCAACACCTGCTTAAAGATTTGACCGCACACTCCCTCTCTCTGAAGACAACATAAGCATTGATATTGTGCCGATCTGGATGAAACTCTCTTCTACAAAAGAAAAAAGAATGCTTTGTTAGATAGTGCACAATTGATACTGGAAAACATGTACTAAATAACATTTAGTTGCTATACTGTATTTCAAAATAACAAAACAGGGCAAATAATTTATTTGTATTGATTTTTCTCCTCCAGAAGAGACAATGAGAAGACTAACAACAGTTTCACTCATAATTTGTCTGAAGAGTCATAAATTTGATACACATATCAATGCTTTCAAATGCATACCTCTTACAAACCCAGTTTGGAGTCTGTGCTGTGATTTACAGATCAAGTGTTTTCTGCTTTGATTTATCACTTAAGCGCAAAGCATGCAGACCATAAATAATAATGTCATAAAATGTGCACAACATCACTTTGCACCATAATTCAAAACATTATGTGCAGAATCTCATTAAAAAATATGACTTACTTTGATTTTGGGAAAGAAACATGATTCAAAAGTTACTTGAACAATTATTCTTAGTTTCATTCGAGTGGTTCGGCTTCAAGTGACCGTTCAATACAGGTGGAAGACAACACAGGTGGAAGACAACACAGGTGGAAGACAACACAGGTGGAAGACAACACAGGTGGAAGACAATAAAAAGAGACCTTTAAGCCTTGGTAAAGGGTGACTGAGACCGCTCAATAGAGCTGACTGAACAATAAAGGTGAAAATTACAGAGTCTCTGTAATTTTTCACCTTTATCTGAGATTAACGGGAAAGAAATTCTGGACTTTGGCAACCAACTTCTTAATCCAGGGTGACCACTTAATTCAGTGCCACTTAATACAGGTTTAACTGTACCACCTCAAATGACTAAATTAAAACAAGTTCAAAACACATGTTTGTAACATTACTTTTTCATTGCCACTTTTCTTGATAGGCCTGGTTTAGCAAGTGCCTGCAAAAAAGATGCACAATAAGTAAAGTACACAATGTATCATACTTATAACAAACAAAGCTGCTCTCCAATATGTAATCTAAGCAGATCTCAAAAGGATATATATGTTCGATCATATAGAGTTTAGAAACCAGGTTTCTAGAGATACATGTAGTCCCCTACTGATTTGTTTGATCTCTTTGACACTGACAATACTAGGTAGTGTTGTCTTCAAACATAGTTGAGTGTCAATCTTAAATAAGAAGAAATGATTTTCACTTGGCTCAGTGTGGTGTCACTGTTTAACACATTATTCATTTGATTTGCACTTGGCTCAGTGTGGTGTCACTGTTTAACACATTATTCATTTGATTTGCACTTGGCTCAGTGTGGTGTCACTGTTTAACACATTATTCATTTGATTCAGCTCTCAAGCATTGGTTTGCATATCTCTCTCTCAGTTCCCTTAATCACTTTCTTTGTCTTATCTCCTGTAGGATTCTGTGAAATGTCATTGCAAACTAAATTCCTCAAGTCCTTCCTATCAAAAATGACGTCATTCAAAAAAGTCAGTCGAAAACATGCTTACAAAGAAGACAGCTGCTGTTGTAATAGGGACATGCATCAAGGACATTAAGTGCTGCATCTTTTTTTATGAATCTTTACTCATTATTTAAGACAGCTGACTGAATTTTTTCATCTAAAGCAATAACATGAGCATGGGAAAAGTTGATATTGACCGATCATCACTGCTGTGACAAACCTCAGCAAACTTGATTTGATTGCCATTAAAAGGGTCTTTAGTGAGTAAAATGATTTATTCGCAAGCAAATTAGATTGTCTACTGTTCATAATAATTTCTACTGTGGTATGACAGGTATGAACAGAAAACACTAGAGAGGAAAGGGAGAGAGTTCAGAATGCTATGATAGGACTCAGGGCTTGCTTTCACTTCATAACCTTTATACCTATTACAACTGTAGATTTTGTGCTCACTTAATGAGTTACTATTAACATCTAAATGAAGACAACACTCAACCAATTTGTAAATCAAAATATAAAATTTGCAATCACAATTCCACTTGTGCTCAACACAAACACACTTCAGGACATTGTCATTTCAAAGCTCTAGACAATCTTCCATAACTCAAGAATTAGAATATCTTTTACTTGATATCATTGAGTAGTCTTTCACAGCCATGCACATAGACAATAATTATGGACATAAATGAGTCACTGTTCTTCAATGTCATCTTTGTCACAATTTTCAAGTGAGAGATCAACCATCTGTTCCTTTTTGAAAAAGACTCCTGTCTTCCATGGTTTAATGATGTAGGACTTTGGAATGTTGCCAAGCAGTGCTCCATAATAAGACATAGCTTCTCTTGGGCAGACTACCTTTGTTGAACCTTGATTACCATTATCATGACTGCCACCATCTGCCATCAGTAACTTATCTGTGCAATTATTTTTCTTTTCCTTGTTGTCTGTATGTGAGCTATCTGATCCACTTTCTGTACTCTGGTATTCTGATTCATTTGCATCACATTGAAAGTATCCTGGATTCACCCCAAGCTTAGTCAATAGATAGTGCTTGATGGCATAAACTCCTCTTTCAACCACAGTTTGTGGAGGCTCTTCCAAAGGGTTATTTGATAAATTTAGCCCCGTTAGTGTCTTGATAACCCCTAACTCCAACGGGAGATGTTTGAGCTGATTCCTCCCTAACAACAATGTCTTTATATTCCTGTGTTCTCCAATATTCTGTGGAATTTCGTGAAGTTTATTGTCTCTCAGATCAAGCCACACCAGATTTTTAAGACAAGGAAAAAACTCATCTGGTAAAAAGGAAAGGTTATTACCTTGTAGATAAAAATATTTCAGATGAGAAAGATTGAGTTCACCCAACCCTCTTGGAACATTTTGAATGCCACTAAATTTCAAATCCAACGAATCAAGATCTTTCTTTGAAACAGTTTCCAATGCTTTCAAAATTATCTTGTTCCATTCATGAGGATCTTCCATACTTCTCACAATATTGTCCACAAATCTGTGTATTTAGCTTATCAGGTTTTATCCAAACTGAACATCTGCCAGGTTGTCAAAACATAATTCACTCAAAACCTGATATATATTTTTAAGCATTAATTATTAACAACTGTCTAGGCAGAATATTTTATTTTTCTGAATTAAGGGTTTTACACTTAATAAGTTTATAAACTGTGAAAGGAAATTGTTTTCTGAATATTTATTCAAAAGTATTATGGACCATACAAGCTAAATATAAGATGAGTAAACATGCTAGCAGAGGAGGAAGTTTCCCCATCAGCTATTCAACATCATCAACTGCCTATTGAAACAAATACTCTGCAATTTGGAGGTACAAACAATGGCAATAATGTTATACTCTTAATTTGCAAGTTCTTTTGACAAAAAATAAGACCATCAAATCTAGGAAGCAGAAAATAAATCAGTTTAAGAATGGTGATCAATTGCTTGTTTCATTGAAGAAAAATACTAGTGCAACAGAAAACTTGAAAGGAGACAAGGCTCATTAGTTATTCAAACCATCAATTAAACTCCATTATCTCATTGGTGTTTGAAAGCTGTTAAATAAAATTTTCTATTTATTCTTTTAATTTGTTCGATAAAATTTTTAGGATCGGATTAGCTTCACATACTCGTATAGCAGCCTGTTAGGGATGCAAACAATTGAAATTAAACCAATTCCACTCAATTATTATGTCTTACTACATTAGCCAGCCCAACTCTTGTTCACCACACAGTAGTGAAACTTTAACCCTAGCTTAATTAAAAAGTTTCTTAGTTCTCCTAAGTTTGATCACTCAGTGATTCCAATATATTTAAAACAAATTGCAGCTTGAAACCTCTACATACCCCAAGGCCTACAGGCTACTTTTAGTTGTGAATGTCTAGGTTAGTGAGAATTGGTGAAGTTCCTAGGTCATGGTGGTTATCTTGTTTTCTTCAATAACACATAAGTAGATCCACAAAATTGTGTGCTCATTCTAGAGAACAGTCCTACCACTGGCCTAACAGAGTGACCGTTGTCATGGTTATTTTGACTGGGTTCAATTCAATGGTACTTAAAGTGGGAATCACAAAAACATTTTGATCCATTCTTGCATAAACATTTAAAAGCTCTGTATTCACAGTTTTCTGTTCTGAGTGCTCTCTATGTTCTATATCAAAGATATTTATCATATTCTTTAATCATCTTCTGCTTTATGACTGATCCAAAAGGGTCCCTTGTTTCCTTTGGAAAGAATTCTTTGGCCACTAGGTTTCAAACCATAGGTCATAAAAAATTCTTGAGCTTCTGATTAGCATTTGAGTCTCTTTAAATTATATCTTGGGTGCAAGTGTTAACTGTGTTTGCCTTGGAAGCTAGAATCTCTCTTAGCAATTTCCCAAGATGGTCTCCATGATCATGTGAAGAATTGCAGCTTTTGTATTATCTCACCAAACTGTCACAATTTTGTTTGTTTATTTTCATCAAGGAAGAGTCGCAGTCAATTTAAACTTGAGGCAACTCTAAATACTAAAATGTAGATAGCACTTACCACTGAGCGAAATCTAACACTCTCCACATCACCATAATTGGCAAACATCTGTTTCAGTTTCTAACAAAAAATGTAAGGTACAAGTGAACATCTATAATATTATTGTGATTGCCACAGCCATAGGTTTTTCACATTCCTTAACTTTGCAATGCAATGTTTTAATTTTTATTACAGTTTACTGTTCACAACTAACATACATTATCTTACAAAAAGAAGGCAGCTCAGAATCCAGGTATCCAGTCTTTAAGGTGGCAGTCAGTACTTAATGAGAACACTGTTAGGTGACAATTTCTTGACTTTTTAATGAAAGGCTTTAGCTCTCATTAAATATTGCTACTGACCTTTCTAGTAAATGTCACTGGAAGGTTTCCAACAAAGACAGTCCTGGCTAGTCTTTCTGGATTTTCCACTGCCTCACTGGATTTCTTGCATTTTTTATGGGTATTCTTAACCATCATATCTTCATCATCACTGGGAGAACACATTCCACATGATATTTGGTAATGAAATCACAAGTAAGGAAAGAAAAGAAACAAAAACCAACAAAACAAAAAAATAATTCTATTCATTTTAGTCTACTAAGTCCTTTACTTCCACATGCTTTCCCTGGGTGAAACTTCTCCAAAATTTGCAACAATTAAACCTATAGTATCAGTTGAACATTATGTTAAAAGAGCATGTTTAACTGACTTCAGCAGTACTTTTTATTGGCTTTTCATGTTAAATCTAGATCAAACATTTTCATTTAAAATTTTGCTTAGCAAGCAAAATAATTATGTCTCATCATCAAACCACTCCTGGAAACAAAGCAAACCCAGCTGGGAACACACTACCAATCAAAAATTGAGTCTCTCAGACATCACTGCCAGAATCACAGCTGTAATAAACAGGAATCAATTTGTAGGCCTCCTTTGCTCACTGTTGATCAAACATTGTTTGCTTTTTTGCCACCTCATGGCCTGTGCAACACATACTATTGACGTATTTATGCACGATCCTTGCAGTAAAGAGCACTATTTAACAATAGTGAAAATCAGACCTGATAAAGTTCAGGCCTGTATGGGATTCGAACCACTGACCTCTGCGATACTAGTGCAGTGCTCTACTGATTGAGCTAACAAGCCAACTGGGAGCCTGAAAATCAGACCTGAATTTTTTCAGGTCTGATTTTCGCTATTGCTTAAACATTGCTCTTTATTGTGAGGATCGAGCATAAATAAGTTTCTATAACCGCAGTTCAGATATATGAATTTCATATATTCGTTGTGTTTGATTTATCATCTTACAGGTTTATGTCGAATTAATTTGATGACCTGCTCCCAGTTGGCTTGTTAGCTCAATTGGTCAGTTGCTGCACTAGTATCGCAGAGGTCAGTGGTTTGAATCCCGTACAGGCCTGAATTTTTTCAGGTCTGATTTTCACTATTGCTTAAAAAGTGCTCTTTACTGTGAGGATCGTGCATAAATATGGTTTTTAGAACCGCGGTTCAGATATATGAATTTCATATATTCGTTGTGTTTACATACTATTAAGCTGTGTTTTTTTTTTTTTTTGCATTGTGTGCTCTAAGTGTGGAAATACTTTTTGAAGAGGTTTATTGACAAAGCTTTTACCTTGACACTTCCTTTCTTTTCTTTGAATGGCTACAAAAACCTGTTATGTGTAAAAAAAAACAAATTCGAAGTAAAAAAATATAAAATATACAGAACCCTATAGAAAGCAAAAAGCTAATAAAGAAACAAAGCCAAATAAAAATTGGCAAGCAGATAAAATTGTGCTCTTCCAAAACTTCCACTGAAAGGGTCTTTCCAAATCCTTGAAATAACTGATGTTTGATATGTCAAACCATTCCAATTATAATGTTGGTTTTAAAGTGAAGGCAAAATGCAAACCTGAGCATTTCACAAAGAAAACTACAATTTTCTCCACACTTGAAAAATTATTGGTTGGTTGACAGAAATATTGACTGAATGGCAAACCTAAAGAGGTTTGTTATTTGTTTGGAAATACTGTGCAATTCTCAAAAGCTGGAAGAATTTTAGCAGCTTATGCAAACCAAAAATTGCAATAATTTAGTTTTCCATGACATGTGACCATTGTGAATTTATAGTATTGGCCAAGAGCAGATAATTTTCAAACTAGGAAACCAAAATAATTTCTGTAAAAAAGTTTTTCCCACTAATACACTTTAAATTTGTGAACTTCACCCTACATTCTAATAATATCAGATTACTCCTCATAATCATGAAATTGGACCCATTAAAATTTCATTTCTTCCAAGTCATAGTGTGAGTGCCATTTTCAATATTATTTCATTCATCAACAGCTCCCATGATTTTTTGTGAGAAGTCAAGCCATGATTACTCACAGGTTAGGACGATACATTTACCCATCAGGAGATGCTTGCAGTATGTACCACAGTAACTATGTTCTAAAGATTTGCCATTAGTCATTGTCATTCTTTATAATTTTTATTGTGGGTGACAGTAAAGCTTAGAACAAACCTTACAGGTTCCTATATCTTGAAAACTACTCTTGAATTTTCTCAAAGCAATGTAACTCAATACCTTGGTCTCCAGTTTCTTTAAACTTGTGAGCATCCCCTGCAGATGTTTTAGATGTCTGAATGAAAGAGGTAAAATAACATTTAATGACTACCAAACTCTACTCAGAGTCTAATGATATCAACCCAGTAACACGCCTGGAAAATTTTCACCACAGTTAACATTCTTATAGGAAATTTCAACTTGGCCAAATGTATAACAAAATAAGGATCTTCAATACTTCCTACTTCAATCTAGCTGCTGTGTTCAAGGTATGCTAAGCAGCCTACTATCTAGTATACTGATCATCTGCAGCCAGGAAACCTACAGCCAGGAAACCTACAGCCAGGAAACCTACAGCCAGGAAACCTACAGCCAGGAAACCTACAGGCAGGAAACCTACAGGCAGGAAACCTACAGTCAGTTTCAGTCACTTGACAAGTGGCATGAACAGATAGATTTATGTATGCTGTGCATTGTTGGTTCATTTTTGATTCATGCAATTTTCTAAGTTAGTGGCTCTACATTCTACAATAATAAACACAACTTTGGTCTACCCTATGTTGACTTCACAACTTGTGACAGTTTTGACTTCACTTTCCAAAACCCAAATCAGGGCTTGAAATTAACTTTTTTGTTTGGGATCCAGCTGGCGACTAACAGAAAATAATTTAGTTGCCAGATTGTAAAGTTTGGTTGCCAACTTACACAAAAACACGATTTCATATCTTACTTTGCATGCAAGAAAAGTCACAATTGAAGAGTGAAAACAATTGGAAACAACACGATTAACAAGTTTCCAAGTTTCCAAGTTTATTAGGTCTTCCAAAACAATTACTTACAATAAACACTGCCTGCAAATAGCGAGCTAATCTAGGCGGGCAATGCTAAGGACAAACAAACACAAATTACTAATTGAAGGCGTTAAAAAAAGTCGATTTTGAATACATTACTTGTCACAAAAAAAAAGTGATAAAAAATGAAATATATTATAATTTATGATTGAATCGTAATTAAGATGCCTTTTTTATTTCAGAAATAAGAGTGCTAGTGTCAGCATAACTGTCCAGAGTTTCTAGAGTTTCAAATAGTAAGGCTTGAATTTCCTTTTCAAACATGTGTTTTGAAAGTTTTCGATAGCTTTTGGGAATGCTGTTCCAAATTTTAGCACCAACAATGGAAAAAGAGTTTTTATGATGATTGAGCCTAGAATGATTAATATAGTAGTTACCAGAAGATGATGAGTGAGTATTACACTGATGTAGGTCTTGTGTAGAAGTAAATAGATTACAAATATTTTGAGGTGCAGAGTTAGCAGTTATATCAAACATTAAGATTGATGTATATGAGCACGATCCTTCGCAGTAAAGCACTATTTGAGCAATAGTGAAAATCAGACCTGAAAAAAAATTTTTTCAAAAAAAAAAAAAAAAAAAAATTTTTTTT